GTGTAGGCTCAAAGATTTTTACCCTGATGGGTTTCCGGATCTCTGCTTTAAATAAATCATGTTTAACAATTGAAACAAAACAAAACAAAAACTAAGTTTTTTAGATCTCCTCAACATTGAAGTGTTAAAAAGGGGCAACCGTTAAGTTCAATTCCTCTACCGGGAAGAATTAAAACATTGCATTGCTTGGTTTTCATTCTTCTGCAAGATTAGTAGCTAGTGGCTCATAATCATTCTGATTTAAAGACATATGAAGTTGCTATTATAGCTATTTTAAATCTAAATTAAAATCAGAGTAGATAAAAAGGGTCGTGTGGCTGATTGAAAGCGTAAACTGAACACGCTAGCATAGGCTGATGAATCTGTTAAACAACCCACGTTCCATCTTTCCAGGACCCAGTGCCATTCTTTTTTCATTGTCTGAATGTGGAAGCCAATTTAAATATGTATTTTGTCCCTTTGCTCTAGGAGTTGTGGCCTATTTTGCATACTTTTCTATCTCCAACTTTCCCAAGACTCTGAAGAGCTTTCCGTCAGTACATATGAGAGCTTTTTCATGCTTTCTTTAGAGTTAATAATTACTTCTACTTGGATATAACTATTTGCCTAGTCCTCTAGTTAAGAGCATTTAGGTTGTTTGCTTTTGTGTTTAAATTGCTGTCATGAGGCTACTGGCTGGGGTTGGGTAGCTGCTACTGCACAAAAAATTGACCTTGGCCGATGTTAACTGTGGTTTATATTTCAAGCTTTCCTTTGTAAGTTGGAAACGTTCATTAAACTTAAGAATTCCAAAATATTGGCGCTGATAACTGCTAATGGGCTAGTTGTTTAGATGGAAGGACAGATTTCTGGAGATTTTTTTATTCTTCCATCTTCTAGACTCTTCCCACCACTCAAGTAGATTTAATTGTGTTTTTCTTCTGAAGGAAGTTAGGCATGTTTTAAGAGTTAACAAGTCATTTCTCTAAATAATAGCCTTAGTGCCCATTTTTCAATTGATTTATTGATCGTGTTCTTACTAGTTTCTAGGATTTCTATATATTTGGATAGTAATTCTATAGAATGAGTTGCAGTATTTTTTTCTTTCTCTGTTAGCCTTTTTTTACCCCTAATTATTTTGCTTATAGTATATTCTGCCATGCAAAAGTTACTTTTACTTTACAATTTATATCTGTGGTTTTAATTAATGACCGGAAAGGTCTTTCTTCAACATTTAAAGGAATTCTTTGATTTTTTTTTCTTCTAGTACCCTTTATTGTTTCATCTTTGTTTATTGAAAGTTTTCCTTCATTGGGACTAGAGCATCATACATTATAGTCCAACTCAATTTTTTTTTCTGCATAATTACCTGGTTATCCTAACACCATTTTCTGATGTTAGGACCAATTATAGCACTTACTTGAGGTGGTAAAAGGTATTTTATATTACACTTCTGATTGTGATTGGGTCTATTGCTGGATCAATTCCATTGATTTTTCTTTTGGTTTGGTCTAATGCCATTTATTTGATAATGCAAATAGCTGTTAGGAAACTTTTCTGACCACTTTTCCCCTGTTAGATTTGGAGCTTAATTTCCTTTCTTATTTCTTATCTTTTATAAGGAAATGTGGACCCATTCTGTGTGCTATTTATCGACTATACATTACTACAGTATTTGCAGTCACTTTGATTTGCATGTAACTGTAGTCATTGTCGAAGCCTGGTTTGGCAGGCTTCCCCACTCCTTGATTCAAACTCCTAGATTTTCCATGCTATAATCACCAAAAATTATCTCATCCATGCAGTGGGCAAAGAAACGGGGGTGAATTGCAAATAGATTATTTAGTTATAATACAAATAGAGATTATCTATTTAAAATTTATTTAAGTTGTTTAAAAGTTAGGGGGTTTTAAAGAAGAAAAGGTGTCTGATGACAGAAAACCACAGTTCCTAGTTTTTAAATGTTTACTTTGTTTCCCAAATGTCTGAGTTAGGACAAATGATCACTAAGGGTCCCCTTTAGTTCATTTTCATTTTCATTATTTTACTGTGACATTTGTAAGTTCACACCCTTCTTGGCAATCCCCAGGGTTTGGCAAGGAGCTTCCTTTCAGCTGCTGTCTTGATTTCAGCCATTGTGTGCTGTTTCCATCTGGTCTTTTCTGTGAATTATGCGTAGACATCTGAAGTCCCCAACTGAATATGCCTCGCTAGGACACACAAAGTCCCCTGTTTTCATTCTCTTCACATTATAGAAATGGAGAATGTGTTACAATGGTGATTTCCCTGCATTTCAGCCTGGAAGTTTTCAACATTTCCTTAAAATGCTTATGAAGCGTTAGAGTTGCCTCAGTGAAGAAATGGAGTGGTCTGTCTTCCATGCTCAGGGATTGAGGGCTTTTTATACCAGGCTACGATAGGACATTTATTTATCAGTCTGTTATTACTACCAGCAACAGTTTCTGACAGACTGGCTTGTTTGTTGGACTCCTCAAGAAAACTCATTTTTGGAAATAGCTTGTTTCTCATATTGAATGGCATTTTAATAAGCCCTTGGAACAGATTTAAACTTATTTCACATTAGCCTTCTTTTCAACGCCAAATCATACCAGTTTGTTTAGTCTTTCTAATCCTTTAATCATTTTATCCCCAGCAGGTTTCCAAAAGCTTCACATCTTTGTCGAATCCAGAGCTACACTCAGTTCTCACATAATCTGAAGTGGGTTGGACAATGGAGAAGGATCACTTCCTTCCTGTTATGTGTTTTGGGATTTGTTGTTTGACAGCTTGATCACACTATTCCCTTTCCAGTTAAACATTGTGAAATGCTTTTGCATGACTTCGTATGTCTCACCTCTAGTGAAGTTGATGCCTCTCTAATCGGGGACATGAAGCTGGGCGGTTGTGAGTCTGTGCTCAGCTTATTTCTCTGCTGCTGTCTTGAATCTGTCTGTCTGTCTGTCTATCTTCTCATTCTCATTTTGCTCTGAGCCATACATATTTAGCAAATGGATCTGTTGTGAGACCATAGAATGTGGTTTGCAAGTTCCCTTATGTGGTGCTGACTGCAGTCAAGGTGAGGAAATGTAGATTTAGCCGGCGTGTGCCCTGCTGCGTCACAGCTTTCCCTCTGCTTCTGTCAAGGCAGCACTCACTGTGCCCATTGACCTGTCCAGTCTCATCTGGATTTGTCTCTTCCCTTTCATTCCTATGTTTTTCTCATCTGACTTTAAGCGTGTTCATTCATGGCATCCAAACTTTGGGAGTGTAGCAGATAGTCTTTGTAGTCTAAAAGCTTTTATGCTCTGCAGTTTTCCTTCCTTTTACCTCCTGCCCAAGGCTACCCACTGCTTGTCTACTTCCTTTCTCTTTTTTGGTATGATTTATTTATTTATGCGCACAGAACTGGTGTACAGGCCAGAGGTGTAGTGGCGGTGAGAGGATTCACTAGAGAGAGAGGGAGCAGACCAGGCAGATCAATGAAGTACACTGCTGAGGGGAACAACGTGTGGGTCCAAAGAGGTCTGCCACGCCATGTGAGTCACCTCCAGGGCCAGATCTAGCTCAAACTGAAGTGGCTGCAGCTAGCTTGCAGTGCTGAGCTTTAACCCGTTGGCTACCAGGAAGGGCCTACTTGCTTTCTCTTTTTAAACAAATCTGGCAATTTAGCATAGAAGTTGCTTTCTCATCCCAGTTTTGGATTTTTTTTTTTTTCTGTTTCTGCAGAGAGACCAGGGTAGTAACCATTTGAAATCCATCTGGGATAGAAAGTTTGAATGCTATTGCAGTATCTGGAATCCAGAGTGGATGGGGAAGTGACTTGGGAATACTCGTTTATATTCATTTCTTTTTCTGATTTTATAGAACAACACTGGCCATTTGGATTGCTTTATTGTCATACCTGCTACCATCCTTGGTGTCCCCTTGTCCCATCCTGCCCCTCCCTCTTAATCTCAGTGCCTCGGTGTTTATTTTCACTGATTTTTAGTAGTATGGCACTTCGTTTTAAAATTGTCTGCTATATAAATGGCCATTTGCTTTTATCATTGACTTGCCTTTATGGCACATCTTTCTCTTGAACTTCCTCCATTTGGTTACAAATTACTTCATATCATTTCTACTTCAGGCTGGTTAGAATTCCGTAGTGTGGCTAGGCCACATCTTCTTGACCTGGTTCCCGCACAGATGTTCAAGCTGCTTCAATGACCTGTTGTGAATAATGTAGCTTTGAATGCATAAAACATAAGTGTGTGTGTGTGTGTGTGTGAGTGTGTGAGAGAGAGTAAGAGTAAGAGAGAGAGAGTACGCGGTATTTCATAACCTTTGGAAAGTTGCCCAAGAATTGAATTGCTGGGTCACAGTATTTCCATTTTTAGTTTTTTTTTAAGATTTATTTATTTACTCATACAGAACTGGGGTACAAGCCAGAGATGCGGAGGGTGAGAGGATTCACCAGAGACAGAGCAGGGAACAGAACAGGCAGATCGACGAAGTGCACTGCTGAGGGGAGCAGCGGGCAGGTCAGGAGAGGTCTGCCGCGCCATGTGGATCTCCTCTAGGGCAGGCGGGAATCGAACTCATGCGGAAGTGGCTTAAGCTTCTTAGTGGTGTGCTTTAATCCGCTGCGCCACCAGGGAGGGCCCCCATTTTTAGTTTTTTGAGGTAACTTCAGCTTTCTTTCCATAATGGTCATCCCATTTTGTATAAGGTTCCTCTTAGCATCCTCTCAGTGGCTTTGGGAGGGAAGGTGTGTTTCACTTGTGCCTTTCTCACAGGGTAACATGGCATCACATTGTGATTTTAAGCTGCTTAGAGACATTTTAAAATCAAACTATAAATTTATGTAGCAGGATATTTTAGCTTTACCATAAAGTAAAGTCTAGGTGTCAAATCTCACACACACAAAGCAAATACAAATTTTGAGCCATATATATATAAAGTTGAATTACGTACATCTGAAGTGAAGATAAAACTTTTTTGTTATGTTTCAAGGGGTGACTAACTGCCACTTTTCTCTGCAGCTTAACAAGCAGCAGTTGCAGTTGCTGAAAGAGAGGTTTCAGGCCTTCCTCAGCGGGGAGACCCAGATCATCGCTGATGAAGCCTTTTGCAATGCAGTACGCAGTTACTACGAGGTAAACTTTAAAGCACTTTGTTTTTGGCATTCTGATGCTATTTAAAAGTTTTTAAAAATGACTATCATTTTATGAAACTGGTTGGTATAATAGGAAGGCTGTGACTTTGCAACCATCTTAAAAACATTGTCAATTCCATTTTTCAATTTAAAACTAATTCCACAGGCTGGTTTTGAGAGATAAACAGAATTGAAATTTTTTCCTATCTTTTAAGAAGTCGTAAACTGTTTAGAAAAATCTTCTGGCAGTGATTGATACAGCTAAGTATAGCTATCTTTTGGTCCACATGTCTAAATTATCCTTTTTAATCAGGAATTCAATAGCAGATTGCTATCTTGTGTTATTTTGTTCCCTAAGTTTTATAATAATTAAAGCTAGTAACTAATTTTAGGAGGATAAATTGAATTCTTTTTCTCGAAGGAACAGTACTAGCAGGACCACCTTAATATTGCTTCTGGGTTCAGTTTGTAACTCATCAGGAATTCTCTATGGAGTTCCTGTGAGCACCAGTTTTCACACATGGTCATTAATTGCTTCAGTGAGTTGCCAGAAGATGTTAAGTGTAGAGAGTTCTCTTTTCAGAGTCACTTGGGGAATGGATTCCTTCTGTTATGCAATCCTCTATACCTTTCAGCTATAGTAGAACATGCAAACTCATACTAGATCAGTCAAAAGCAAAGATGCTGGAGACACCCGGGTCTATATTTCCCTAAGGCAGATGCTGGAGACACCCGGGTCTATATTTCCCTAAGGCAGAGATGTTCTTTGTGTGAAAAAGAAATTAATTGGATGTATACAGGTAATTGGTTATATATGTATTTTATGGAGGGTATGCGTCAGAAGTCACTTAATGAACCTTGGGGGAAGTCTGTATTACTCTAATCCTTGACCTGTTGAATTGGATGAAAGTATGGAACTCTTGCTTACCAAGTTTCTGCATGGCATGAAATCTAGTGTTAGAGTGCAGATGTTGTCAAACTGGACCATGACACAGTATCTCAAATGTAGGACTTCAAATGTCTGAAGTATAAGATGTCACACTTCATCTTGCCTTGACTATTGGCAGCATTTAAAACAAACTGCCAGTCTGTACTCAAGGTGAATGAAATATGATTCAGGAAAGTAATTATTTAAAAAAGATGCATTTTTTTAAAAAGATAAATTTATGCCTACAGAACTGGAGTACAGGCCAGAGATGCAGAGGCAGTGAGAGGATTCACCAGAGACAGACTGGGGAGCAGAATAGGCTGACTGATGAAGTACATTGCTGAGGGGAGCAGCGGGCAGGCCAGGAGAGGTCTGCCGCGCCATGTGGATCACTTCCCAGGCGGGGATAGCACTCATGCTGAAGCGGCTTTAGCTTCTTAGTGCTGTGCTTTAACCCACTGCACCACCAGGGAGGGCCCTGGCCACATATTTTAATTTGGAGTCACCAGGTCTGAGATTTATCATGCACAGGCTACTTAAAGGAAGGTGGTTGGCCTGAGGAAACATTGGGCTTGTGTTGGATATAGCCCTAAGAGTTAAAGTGGAACCACAATGGAAACTCAGGTGGGGAAGATTTCTACTTAGTGTGGTTGGAGTTTGGTTGCATGGCCCAGGCAGACTGAGCTGCCAGCTGTACCTCTTAACCACTTGGGGAGAAGAGTGCCCAATTAGGACTTGGAAAGCTGCCCCAGACTCATCAAATCAGAATGTCAGATTTTTAGTAGTTATCCAGGTGAATCTCTTATAAGTGATGTATTTCTAACCAATAGAGTCGATGATTTCTTGCTGGGATTTTTCCAGAAAGACATAGGTATTTCAACTAAGTGATAGGGATTCCCAGCCATAGTTTACCTGAGTCAATATCCAACTCATCTTTGTATCTTAAACCTCAAAAATAAGGAAGGGGACAACATTCCTGATTGACACAGGGAGTTATTTTCCAGAGATAGTCAATACCTGCAGGAAAAATAAGCACTTTTTGGTGTCTTTTTTCTTCAGGACTGTATTTTGTCCTAACAGTGTTAGTCATCTCTATTGCAACTACACATATGTAATTTTTTTATTTACCAAAGTTGTCTTAAGCTTTTCTTACAATACTTCCTGCAAAAGGTAGAAATATTATCCACAAATCACATAATTAGAAACAAGCTAGAAGAAGTTGAATTAATTGTTCACTCTTCCATACTTGCTAAGCATCTGAGTTAAATGTGAATGTAGAGTTTTGGACTCTCAAGTATGCCACTGTTGTTTGTCAGTAACCATTTCAAATATGCTGTGCCAGGTAGGGGGTTAAGCATTTAAAGAAATATTTTTATTCTTTAAAATAAGGTTTTTAAACAAATAGTTTATCCCATCTTAGAAATGAAGGGATTTACACCCAAAATTGAATATCTAATTGGTAGCAGGGCTAAAACCTTACTCTTTCCACTAAAGCTGACCTAAAACATTCTTGAGTTCCACCCAGGACCTATTGACTCAGAATTCCTGGGATGGATCAACTGGATTTTGAACTACACCTGAATGATTTTCTTCCTCCCTATGTACCTCACATCTCTTATCATATATATTCTGTGAAGAAGCTGTGTCTTTCCCAGTTACTTTAAACCCCCGGTGTGTGACACATAAATACATTCAGTATATAATGGTTGACTAAAAGTATCGCTTACTACTCTTTGTAGAAAGTTCTGTACTTTCTGTATTCTCATTTTTCACATAGTTCTAGTTTATTTTTAGGTACTGTGTCAGTATTGCTCTGGAATTTCTTTTGACTGTGACAGTTCCCAATTTTATGGTTTTGTGTTTCTTCGGAGATGCTGAATACTTCAGGAGCCTGGAAGGGTTTTTACGTCCTTTCTAACCTATTCTCTCGGTGTTCTTTTTTTGCTTCTCTTATCTCTTTGGAACTCTATTTTCTTAGGCATTTCCTATTGCTTGACATAGTTTGAACTATGATTAATTTATCAGTGGTAATTTTCTTATTTAATAGGTTTAGTAGCCTTTAGCTTCAATGGGCATTTAACTCTGTGGGTGTGTATGATAATTTTATTATCACTTCAACTGAATCTGTCTCCTTAGTGTTGGAGTACAATTTCTTTCAAAGTCAATTTGTTGTGTGTGTTTGTATGTGTATGTGTGTGTGTGTGTATATATATATATATATATATATATATTATATATATATGAATATGTATATATATAAGCTTCAAAAAAGCTACTTTAATGGTTTTATGAATAACGTTCTATTTTTGGCTGTAGGTTTCTACTTTCTAAAGATAGTTGAAAGCAGTTATCTGTCAGTCTTACATTGGTTATGTTATGCTTTCACTCACTTGGTCTGCTGAAATACCTAGGGTCTTAGGTATTAGTGTGTGACTTAATATGCCACTCATATTTCCCTACATTTAAGATGTTTTGTTAAGTTGCAGCCATCATTTCAAAATGTAAAGATTTTCTTGCAGCTAGGTCATGGTGAAACAGTGTACTTGTGGTGTGCTTTTGGGGGGCTACATGTGGGTCTTTTTATATCTGTACATCAACTTTGAAATGTGCTGTGAATATTATCTAATATATTCTGTAGAATCATATGCTGTAGAGGTAACTTTTTCATGCCAATATAATTTCTATCACATGCTCTTAAATGAGGTGTCTTAAATTTGGTTTAAACATTGACCTATAAAATAATAAAGAAGAAATCTTTTTCTTGTAGTTTCATCAGTCCTTTCCTTCATGAATTTAGCATAATTAGAAAAAATGGACCATCCAGCCCTCTAAACTACCTAACTAGGCAGACATATAGTAGAGGATGCCAGAACAGGAAAAGAAGAAATAGCTACTTAGTAATAGTTGTCAGTTATAATCTTCATAATTTTATCCTGGTTAACTGGTGTCAACTGTTTTTTTATTTTTATTTTTTAAGATTTATTTATTTATGTATACAGAGCTGCCATACAGGCCAGAGGTGCAGGGGTGGTGAGAATATTCACTAGAGACAGCGGCTTGCCGAACAGGCAGATCGACGAAGTACACTGTTGAAGGGGAGCAGAGGGCAGGTCAATGCTGAGGGAAGCAGCAGGCGGGTCAGGAGAGGTCTGCTTCGCCATGTGGATCACCTCCAGTGCAGGGATCAAACTCATGCTGAAGTGGCTTTAGCTTCTTAGTGCTGTGCTTTAACCTGCTGTGCCACCAGGGAGGGCCCTATCTTTTTTTTAAAAAAAATGAACTCAAGTTGTCTTTTTCTCTTCTAGTTTTTAATCCCTCATGCAAGTCACTCACTGTCTTTAGGAAGGCATAAAATGGATATTAGTTTTATTCTGTCTCTTTCTGTCTCTGTCTGTCTGTCTGTCTGTCTGTCTGTCTCTCTCTCTCTCTCTCTCTCTCACACACACACACACACACAGAACTTTGTTTTCCACTTTAGAAGACTTCAACTGATTCTGTGGATGAGTAAATACATGGTTATTGCAACGTGACTTTCCAAGTTTTCCCCACAAGTTATCTGCTTCTGTTTTCACAAAATTCAGATGGAATTCATCCAAATAAAGCCAGTGACAGTATGATTTATAACAGATATGTGGGAAAGCAAATGGTTTTTCTTGAGAGATTTCCAAAAAACAATATATAATTGCTTATAAGTTGCTTTCAGCTTAACAGAAAGTTTTTCTTTTAGTATACAAAAATTGGATGTTAGTGCTTTCCCTTCTATATTTTTGTGGGTGACATTTTTCTTAACTTTTCCAAAGGATGTGTATCATACAGGTTTTTTTTTTTTTTTTTAATGAATTCCGCTTATACTCTTCTGGTGTTTAATGAGAGCTGGAGGTGTTTAATGTTGTAAAAAGAATTACTAAGTCATTAGAAAAGTAATACTGTCTCTAGCATCACCACTACCACATTTGCTTTTCAGATTCTCTCCCTGTATAGGAGACAAAATGAAAATTCCTTCTATAAGAAAACTTGTGTTCAACGTTAAAGGAAAATTACTCATTTTTCTCAAAACACTGAACTTTAATTTC